AGGGCCGTTTCCGGCCTTCTCCGTATATCTATTGAAGTTAACTTTCCCCGCGTGTAATGAAGACATCTTCAGTTGCCAATATTCTTGGACTTCTTGACTCGTAATCCCAAGACCATTCCTTTGGCTTTTCAAGTTTTCAAGGTGCGGGGTAAGCTGTCAAAACTGGGGAATTAGCCGCGGCACTACGAAGTTTCTTGCGCGGCATAATAGTCACAATCCCCTGCCTTCTCGAACGTGGTTGACCTCTTCCAACCACGTGGTACTCATATCCCAGCCTGGTTTTCGGGTCGTTTCACCGTCCCAATGAAAATTTGCCCGGAAAACCCCGTCAATCAACAATCGTCAACTGGAACTTGCGCACTGGGATAAATTAGAGCGGCTTGCCAAGACGTCCCAGAGAGTTTGGGAGACTCCACTACAACGCACAGAGATGCGAGGAGGATTTCCTGGAGCTGCGCCTCTACAGGTATGTTGATTTCTAGAAGATCGAAAACTTGGCTAAAGGTCAACACTGAAAGGCTTGGATTCCCAATTTGAGATAAATGTGTGGCAAAATATTACCAGGCGGTTGGGACCAAAGAATAAGCCTTCTCAAGGGTTTTGCAAATGCATTAAGGAGACCAGTTACCTAGAAGTTTGTAAAGTCCAACGGTTCACCACATGTCCCCGTCGACTTGCAGGAACGATAGATTGATGGTATTTCCCGTCTAGACTTACAACACATACACCTTGTAAGGTGCAGTAGGTGATGTAAAACTCAGACATCTAAGTCTACCGCTGTAAACTATACCTAGGAACTACGGCATGGCCTCACCTAAACTGATGAGAGAAACGGTCGATGTTGGGGGAAATTCGATAGAGAATCTCCTGTTGCGTTATACTACACCAAAATCAAGGGAGTGTGCCAAAGTTCATTAAGCAAACCTAAAAGCGCGTCTACCCTCGAGATTACGTTCGCCAGACAGGTTACGGCTCGTTGTCTCCAAGTGAATTAGGTGCGAGAGCGACCTGATATGTGCAGTTCCCAGCCCTAGATCTCGTTTAGGCAGAACGCAACCTGCCAGACTCCAGAAACTAAATGCATGGTGACTTTCTGTGCCTGTGAAACGAGGCGGCTCAACCCAGCGATGAAATTTCGTAAAACCAAGTTATCAGGCAACGAGCAACAACGTACGTAATATATTCAAATACAAAGCTTCCCCATGGAAGCTACCCTGCTTCTGATAGGTAGCATGGAACCCGGGTCCTCCAACAGAAATCTCGCCGAAGGTCAGATTAAGGGTTTGGCCTTACGCACGTCAATCTGCATATACGCAAGATTGTTGGGTTGCCACCATGAAAACGAAGATTATGCTGCAGAATTCCTTTATACGACAGCTCATTACTGAATAATAAGGCCGGTATTATAATGCAACGGCGGGTTGCGTCTTCCCAAGTGACTCGAATCTGTCGCCGCATAAGCTTTCGCTCGGGTTGTACAAAGTGAAATCAAAGCCGGCAAGATGTGCCATCATCTCCGAGGGCTTCCAGATACGACTTTATTGTTTTTGTCCCTCTTTTGAAGTGAATAAATGGGCTTGTGAGGCGAACCGAGGCTCACGCGTACATATGGGTACCAAAATCGGCATGCGACCAAGCACCAGTAGAAAACTGTCAGTTGAAAGTGCGGAATGAATTTTCCGATTAATCCAATCTAAGGGTGGTTATCCAGCAGCCGAACCCGCTGATTCGGTGTGAAAGTGTTATAGTTTGCCCGAATAGCAAAAGATCTGCGCAGATGAAACCGTGACAGTTGCAATTGGCGCCAGCTGATCATGAAAAATGTAGTTATGGAGAGGGTTTCTGAGTTTTTGAGTGCGTATCACTGTGAGGGCTACTATCAGCACTCACGGAAGCTATTGATGTTGTGATATCTTACGCTGAAGATACTCCTGGTTGACCCAAACCCGAAACTATCGTCTACACAGAGAGCATCATGGACGCCACACAGCCAGTGGTGCTGCCTGCTATCCGAGATGCGGCCAGTCGGAATACAGACAATCGGGTTGATCTGATCCTGACACTGTTAGCGTACATAGCACAGAAACGCCCGAGGTCTACAATTTCTAGTTCAAATCGTATTTTCGACATGCATTTTCAGAAATGTAATAGATGTATTACTACTGTAACCCCTGTACGCGGAACCTATGGGCGGGAAGCGTGGGTGCTAGACTCAATTCTCATGCCGGCTATCCAGGATTTTCTTGACATCGAAGGCTTGAAATGGTCTTTGTTGTAGGGCTGCTAACACAGTAACTTAAGTGGAGTCCCATACACTAGAATGGGTGATGTTTCTGGTTATATTGAGGCAATGACTGTCACTTGATAGTGTCATCTTGAAATTTGTAGGGCACCTGTATAGAAGCTTGTTTCAACTGTGCCAACTAAAACTTTAGGTCAGTGTTGTTAACCCACTCCGCAGTAGCCGTTTATCATCAACCCGCCCGGTCCAAAAACCTACGCTCAGCCCTAGTGCTCAATAACCTGAATGATTAAGAAACCACCTATGAGCCAGGAATTTTTCAGGCTCCAAGCCCTCGTCTTCTACATTTTTCATGAACTCTCATTCTACTATCCCGTCGATGTAGCAAGTCCCAACCAGGTGGTAATTATCGCAGTAAGTTACACACCATCTGAGAATAAGCGGCACAGAAAACCCTAGACTTATGTTTCTAGTATCTCCCTTATTCGATCTTCCTGAGACTAGACCCGTGGAAGTCTTCGTCAGTGCGAACTGTGGCCCCGTATCACAAATTTCCCAATGCATGAGTTTTGAGGGATACTGCTTTAACAGTATCTATCCTGTTGTTAATTAATGGTGTTGAAATGGGATTTTCTTTGGGATTCACCAGACAAGTTCTGTTGCCTTTGAACGATCTCTAGAGAGCATCCGGAAAGTGTGACTTTTGTTTCTCCTGATGTTTCCGGTTATTGTATCATCGTACCAGCTTTGAGAAGACCTTGATGCCGCAAGTTGAAGCCATTCACTAAGCACATATTTGCAGCTGTTTGAACACCACGTCTGAGACGTGGCTGTAGCAACCACGCGCACTGGTAACCCCCTAACAAGAGGCTTGGGCATATTCGTACGAGTTCCTAGCTAGATTCTAAAGTCGGAGTTTGTTCCCTCCGAGACACAGTAGACTGTATTATCACATTCCTACCTTAGGATGCCGCCTGTAGCAAAACTTTGCTATTTTATCTATGAAAACAGCATCCAAAGTCGCCAGAGCATATCTCGAAATCCGTCGCTTGACCTAAGTCCGGAAGCCAGGTGCAAACGTGTTATATTCACACTCTTTTGAATTATATATTATTCTAGTGATTGGCTTTGTTTGAACATGTGCTCCGAGGCATAGGAAAATACTTTGGTGACAGAGGTCGACTCAGAGTAGTCTATCAGGAATGAACTCTTACCAACGTCACTACCGAGTGACAGCAAGGGGCCCACCGCATCTCTTGAATTACTCGAAAGAACTTGGTGATACTTTTTAAGGAGTGAGTCAAAGGTTTGCAGCTGTGGGTTTTGGTTGTACTGTGGTGTAGTAGCTAGATGAAGTGCCATATCCAGGTGCTTCATTGAATGCATGTTTTCTTTCAATTGGATATGAACCTTAAACGCCCCAGCACCAATAGAGAAGCGAAATACAGACCATAATACCCATATGAGTCGCGCAGGATGAATCTATTTGACAATACAACCGTTTCTTCGATCCTTATCGTCGTGTGAACCAGTGGTGCGTAAGTAGCTGCCGCAGAGCCCGCTATTGAGGTTCCAGTCTTTTGTGCGAGATTCAAACTTTTCATAGACCGTATCACGATTTTATGGGCTACAGTCATTTGATTCCAGTGGTGGAAGAGTCTTGGCAGTTCCATAGCAAGATTTTAGTCGTCGTCCCCTCCTTCTTTTAGCCATACGGCGATCCTGGCTGCTTGTCGAAAGGGTTTTTTTTCCATATTCCGGACTTGGTCAGCCTTCTCCTTTGTGCTAGCCTGATCGATACACATAGCATCGATCCAGAAAAAGGGCGAGGCGCGGGAAACCGTACGTGAATAGTTGTGACATTGTTTTAGCCCCGCGAAAAGATTTGGTCTGACTGGAAGCTGACGAGTTTTTTCGGACCAAAACATTAGGTCACTAGATTGATGCGAATGGCATGATGGCGGAAAAAAGATTATGGAGGCAAATTGTGATATATGCGAAATGACCGTACTCAAGACGACTTTGATGAAAATGGCAGAATTGCACGATTTGAACAATGCATTATCATCCGACCACAAAGCCTCGTCACAAGATCAGTCAGGCTGTGTTAGCCAACCACGCAAGAAAATCGTCGAGACTGGTAGGGTTGAGGCAGAATTCGCGGCAATATGCCCTAGGCGAAGAATGGGTCGTCTGTGAAGATCCTGAATGTTTCCGAAAGCCAGCGAGGCTTCAAATTCTTCGGAACAGGGACTTATTTCATGGACTGAGGTTTTATTTCAATCCGTCCGGCATAATGGTAGCAGGATGTCGATATGGTGACGCATAAACGAGATTTGCCTGCCAGTTTGTCTCTGGTTGGTAAGGTAGAGTAGGGAGGCTGTTCCACGTCTAACGTAAGCGCATATTATAGCCAGGCTTTTTGCCCTATACATTTTCAACGTTATGAAGAGCATCGAAGTCTTGAATCAACCAAGACGTGTGAGTGGCCTGATGCTGCCTAGTCGTCAAACATGTTCCCCAAGACCGCGTACTGTGTTCACTGCATATTGCGGACAGGTCGAGCTCCATCTTCTACCGTGAAAAGAAGAGAAGTATCTCTTAACGATATAGCGTCAAAACTGATATACATATCTCAAGAGTATAAGACAAATGTGGGTCATCGCTGTCGACTATACCCTAAAAGGAAAACGGAGATTTGTTTCTTCGTGCGAAGTCGCCCAGCGCGGGGCACGTTGTACCACTTCATGATGGGGTGCAATGAGATCGCGTAGAGTTGGAAACCAGGTCTGCTTGCCGGGTTATTCTCATTGCGGTTCCGGCTATCTCTGCAACGTTATTCGGCGGACTAGCAAGAAGACGAGATTGCAGACGACCATTTCCAGACCAAGTGCCTTGCTATTTAATTGCGACTTAAAAATGAAATAATTGTATGTAAGTCGAATCACAACTTGTGGGTTAGCAGATAGGTATATTAACAAATTCTCTGGGCGTTTAGTCGACCGAGCCCTCATATTGTGACCAAAAGAAACTCGACGTGCTTGCATAAGTCACATAAGAGGCCCAGCATCGCTGCTTACCTGCATTATATTCCAACAAGCAACGAAAGAGAAGTATAATCCAAGTTTTTCTCGATTTCATAGGCGTTATGGAACCCCAATCGCTGGAAAGACTGCTGAGTATCGCTGAGATCGAATCATGGGCCATGAAATGTCTCAGCCCCAAAGCGATATCGTACTATGCATCGGCAACAGACGACGAGTTGACTAAGGAGGCTAACGGTCGCGTGTACCGATCCATCATTCTACGTCCACGTGTCTTCGTAGACTGCACCGAATGCTCCCTCTCGACCACTATCTTGGGTAACCAGCTCGCGCTGCCAATCTATGTATCACCAGCAGCCATGGCTCGGCTCGCGCATCCTTCTGGAGAAACTGGAATCGCGGCTGCATGCTCGAAATTCAATGCATTGCAAATAATCAGCAAGAACGCTTCGATGACACCTGCTAGCATCGTGGAAGCTGGTCCAGGAGCGGTCTTTGCTTGGCAACTATACGTTCTGAAGGACATCTCTGCCACCGAAAGGACCCTGGCTCAGATTAGGGCGATCCCGGAAATCAAATTCATTGTTTTGACCCTGGATGCTCCCTGGCCTGGAAAGAGGGAGGCAGACGAACGGTTCAAGATGGGCGAAGTCGCAAGTGGTGGTGCACCACAGACTTGGGGAACTGAGGGTGGCTTGACTTGGCGAAAGACACTGGAATGGCTGAGCACACAGACAGATCTGCCGATTGTGTTGAAAGGGATTCAGACACACGAGGATGCGAACGCTGCCACTCTATTCCCTGTTGTCAAAGGCATTATTTTGTCGAACCATGGCGGAAGGGCCTTAGACACTGCTCCTACGCCGGTTCATGTTCTGTTAGAAATCAGGAGACACTGCCCAGAGGTCTTCAACAAGGTTGATGTACTGGTTGATGGTGGCATTAAAAGGGGCACCGATGTTGTCAAGGCCCTTGCTCTGGGGGCTAAAGTGGTTGGCATCGGAAGGGCAGCGCTGTATGGGTTGGCTGTTGGGGGGCAATGTGGTGTTGAAAGGGTATTGAAAAGTAAGCTGTATCCTCTCAAACAGATGATTTGTTCCCGACGGTTTGGCTAATATGGTTTCTGCCACTTAGTTCTCGCAGATGAGACCATGACGGCTATGAAGTTGCTAGGAGTGCGCCGTATCTGTGATTTGACGCCTCAACATGTATGATCCCCTCTGAACCTGTTTGCGAGTATGAGCAGCTAACTTGGTAACAGATCAACATCAGTCCCTTCACGTCACAGCTCCTTGAAAGGTCTTCCAGTCTGGAAAAGGGGGAGAAAATTGTATCAGTGTTATAACGTCTCAAAAAGCCATGCTTCTACATCGAATACAATATTGAGCTTCACAAGGTGGCGGCTGAAGGCTGTTGTGGGCGGAGGCCGTTGAAAGGTAGTGGACAGATCCTCGACGTAGGCTGCATCCATCGTAGAAACCCAAGTGCATCCCCTGGGTTTTTCATGGTGATAAGTTGTGAATTCGTTCTCGAGACCGTTTACATAATGTTCTAAGTGTAATGCATTTGCATAGCGGTAGGACTCTCCAGAGTCAACTGATACTTCAAAAGCCCATCGATCAAGCTGGCAATGAATATGCGGCTGTAGGTAATGAGATTACATTGACTTGGGACTGGGAAATATGAAGAAACCTAAAATGAGGAGTACAAAACGATTTAAGGGTAGAGAATGGCTATTCCTATAAGGTGACTTCCATATATCTCCCTAGAGAAGAGTTTAGATGTTAAGGGCTGTTTTTGTAGATTGAAAACCTAGTAGGTCACTGTCTTCATAAGCTGTAGGCTTGCATAGGGAATTGTCCCAAATGGAAATTATAAAACCGAAACAAAAGGGTACATCGAGAAAATGGTATATCGCTATGTTTCGTGAGCAGCCAATCATATAATCGAGTGTCACGATATACTGCGTAGTAGATACGAGTATGCTTCTCAATTACTCGTGGGTGAGTTAACCAGGCCAACCGCTCTTTCGTACTTCGTTCGAATTATGTTGCCTCTATCTCATTCCTTGTCGTCGCTTCAGGAAGCAGCGAAGCTGTAGTGCAAACATGTATCAAGATACCGATACCTGCCACTTGCAACTGCTTGCTGGAGTGGAGAAGGCCCCGCTTTTGCCTACACCTGTCTCAAAGTTTGGCATCGCAGGAAAGAAGTGTCGGTGTTACATATCCCCGCCAGGTAACCGCGAAGGATGGCCGCAGTCGGAAGTTCTCGCCAATCTTTCAAGAAACGACAGGTATTGCACGGCCTGAACACCTGCCCGCTTGACCCCCATCTCATTTTGGCACAACCGACGACAGCTCTTCGGCACGACACTGTTATAGGGACTAGATTGCATCGTAGTCCTGTGCAACTGGACAGCTACGAGGCGGTAGAATATGTCATTTTGTCTCGCCCTGACTTTTTTCGTGGCAACTTCTCGAAATGAATCCAGCTATTTCTCTTGCGATGCTGCCAATCGTTAATCGACAAGACCTTGAACACCATTGGGAGTTCAAGCGGAAAGAGGACCGAAGCGACGGCCTCTGGTGGCCTGTCGAGCGTGTGCCGAGCAATGTTTACACCGACCTGCTAGCCAACAATTTGTGAGCCATATTCACTGTGCAGAGAATTGGAACATTGCTGATTCACAATTTGTCCTGGTCAAGGATCAACGATCCGTGGGTAGACCTCAACGAGCTTTCGGTCCGATGGGTCGCAGTCTGCGGCTGGATGTACAAAACGGAGTTCGATAGTACTTTGAGCCCAGCGATGCTCAGTGCCACAAAGACACAGGTTGATATGGTATTCGAAGGCCTCGACACTTTCGCCGAAGTCTTCCTCAATGGCAAATCCATATTGAAATCTGAGAATATGTTTATGTCGTACCGTATCAACATCACGAAATACCTGAAGACTGGAGAACCAAATCAACTTCGTATTGAGTTTGATTCTGCCGTGCGTCGGGGCGAGGCACTGGTCGAAGAACATAAAACGGAACACAATTTCATTGCTCGCCAGACTGTGGATAGCCGGATACCTGTTCGGAAGGCCCAATACCACTGGGGCTGGGATTGGGGGCCAATATTGCCAGGAACAAGCGGACCGTGGCGACCAGTGTATCTCGAGACATACTGCGTCAGGATCGATGACGTGTGGGCTCAGAGCTTTGTCAGCCACGACCTGCAGAGATGCACCGGGCGACTGTTCGCCAGAATCATTGGCGCCAATACTCAGACAGACAAAGTCGTTTTGTCACTGTCCTTCAGCGGCGTGGTCTTGTTCGAGGAGGAATGCAACATTGAGCAAGATGGCATGGCACAATGCCACTTTGAAATTGTAAACCCGAAGCTCTGGTACCCGCGTGGATATGGACAACAAAACCGCCACCAGATCAAAGCATACCTCCCTCGTGAGGCCAAGGTGGCCGATGACGATGTTCAGACATTTCGTCCTTACATAGTCCTGCATGAGAAATCCAAGTTGATTGGCTTCCGCAAAGCTGAGCTCATCCAGGAACCCGATCTTTTTGGACATTCATTCTACTTCCGAATCAACGGTATTGACGTGTTTTGTGGCGGGTCGTGCTGGATTCCTGGAAGCAGCTTCCTCTCACAGATCACGGCGAAGCAGTATCGCGAGTGGATCGAGCTACTGGCTGAAGGAAACCAGACGATGGTGCGAGTATGGGGAGGTGAGTATCATCGAGAGCGGGTTCCTGCGGTGGGGTTGTTGCTAACTCGAATCAGGTGGCATATACGAGGACGATGCCTTTTACGACGCTTGCGATGACCTTGGCATCCTTGTTTGCCAGGACTTCTGTTTTGCCTGTGGAAGCTATCCAGTTTACCCCGAGTTTCTTGCCTCCGTTGATCAGGAAGCAAGGCAAAACATTCAACGACTGAGAACCCATCCATCTTTGGTTTGTTGGTTTGGCAGGTAAGCAATCAGTGGGAAACAGCGACTCTAGCCGTGCTGACAAACCTCTGATAGTAACGAAGATTATCAAGTCCAAGAGCGTTTCAAACTATATTATGACTACCAAGACAAGGATCCTAAGTCATGGTTGAAGTCAAGTTTTCCGGCTCGTTATTTGTACGAGTACCTTTTGCCGACGGCCGTTCAAGATGAGGACCCCGGTGCCTTGTATCATCCAACCAGCCCTTGGGGGGATGGGAGGAATACCGCGGACACTACTGTTGGTGATATCCACCAATGGAACAGTATGTTTCGGCTCCATATTGCCGGGCCAGTCATGACTGACTGACATGATCTTCTAGTTTGGCACGGAGATATGAGAAAATACCAGGAGGCTCATCTTCTCAGCGGTCGATTCGTCAGCGAGTTCGGCATGGAAGCTTATCCTCATATGTACACTATCGATACTGTGATCAGCAACGACAAACAAAAGTATCCCGGGTCAAAGTCGATGGACTTCCACAATAAAGCCATAGGTCACGAACGACGCCTTTTATCCTACATGACGGAGAATTACAACATCAATTCAACTTTAGACGATGACCATGATCTACTACAATTCATACATCTATCCCAAATGGTCCAAGCTGACACGATGGAGTTTGCTTACAAGGCGTGGCGAAGGCTTTGGGCCGTTTCTGGCTCTCGCGTGTGCGGCGGTGCTTTGGTCTGGCAGCTAAATGACTGCTGGCCTACGATCTCATGGGCAGTGGTGGATCATTATATGATCAAGAAGCCTGCGTTCTACTCCATCGCGAGAGCCTTGAAGCCTTTGGCAATAGCCGTTTTGAGAAGGAGTCCCGATTGGACCCAGAGCAAGGTTACGGATGCGTTGGACGTTGGACACGTGGACCTGACACTGGATTCCGGAGAACCTACACATTTCGACGTCTGGATAGCCAGTAGCGGGACTGAATCGGTGGATGTTCGAGTGAAAATTCGGTACATATCTATCGCCACCGGTATTGATGTCGAACCAGCAATCATAAAGGATACCGTAGCACATCCCAATTCAACCACTGACGTACTCCTTGACCATAAGTACCCGGCCCGGCGACCCGACCTGCGGTCGCCCAACCGTTGTTGGGTTGCGGATGAGGAAGACCCCTGTGTCATCTATGCGAGTCTTCTGGTGGATGGGGAGGTGGTTTCATCCGACGTGGCATGGCCCCAGCCGCTGAAATACATCGACTTCAGCAATGCGGCCTTTCACGGCGAGATAGACCATAACTCACGCCGAATCGACCTCATATCAGCTCGGCCTTTGAAGGGTTTGGTGTTTGAGGAATTGCCGGGCTTACGCTTTAGCGACAACAACCTTGACCTTGTGCCAGGTGAACGGAAGGTTGTGCACTACGAGGGGCCGGCGATTCAAGGATTGAGATGGATTTGTGTCGGAGCAAGAGGATTTCTGATGCAACCTGGATAGTATGGGCACATTGGTCTCCAGCTTGATTTGCAGGAACCAGATGGGCAGAAGACGAAAGGGTTATCACATATGTACAAGTATCAGTCGGGGTAGAGAGCTGGCTTGACCCATAGCTAGCCAAAGAGAGGACATCCGCAAAGTGGAATGAGCTCACGGGAAGATACGGCGTTCCCTTCCGACACTTGGACTTGGACAGGAAGAGCATAAGAAAATAATAATATCCATAATCAGCCCTATCTGGTTATATCTCTACAGGGTATTATTTCGCCGACAGTTCTCCGCACCCCGCATTATCGGTTCCCACTTCCCCGGGCCGACTTGTGCTTCGATACCGAGCCACGAACGCAACTCTGGAGATGTCGAACTCTCCATCGTCACTTTTTACTGTATTTTGATGCCCGTTTCAATGGTATGTTCAATAGATTCTCGAGCCGCGAAGACCCGCCTGCGTCCATATCAAGCGCCGCCCGAAAGATCAACCGGAGCTGCACAGAATGTACGCGCCGCAAGGTGAAATGCGACGGCGGTCATCCATGCGGGAGCTGCTCGTACTATAAGATTTCCCATATTTGCCAGTACCGCCAACGGACCAAGCGAAATGCCGTGAGTAGAAGGTATACACAACTCTGGATGTCCATTATAGGCTCCGCGCTGACGTGTCTTCGTTCATCAAGTGCTCTTGGCGAAGTTTCAGACCAACTGCAATCACGAACAGACGTGCTGCGACGACTGTTTCCCAATAATGATCTCGAACAACTCAACAGCAAGACTCGATCCGAGCTTATCGATATCCTACTTGCTCCACTCCGGCCTCCCACTGTGACAGCGACCGAAACGGCCAGCAAGCAGTGCGCTGAAGACGAGGATCCTGACGATTCTGGTCAAGTCTCGGTGAATGGGGAACTTGCGGTCGATCGGCAGTGGGATGAGGCTACACTGCATCCCTCGATGATACACGCTGGCGATGATATCAACGCCATCAATATCGCGACTGACGGACATCGTCGATCGTACCTGGGCATTGCTTCCATCAGCGCCATCTTCCGAGCCATCTTTCGGCTCTGTCCAGCAGCGAAAGCCCACGCCGTTGAACAAGCAAGGTCTGCAAGCCAGATCCAGATTCCGTCTTCATTACCTTCCTTCATCAACGGCCAACAATTTCGGGCCCCCTTGGAAGAACAGCGGTGTATCGACTTCTACTTCGAGCACATCCACTCCATAACGGGCATGCTCGACGAAACCGAGTTTCGCACGTCGTACGCGCTGGGAACCCGGCAGGAGCCTTCCTGGCTAGGGCTCCTGTACATGGTCTTGGCCCTGGGTTCCATTGCATCTGGCAGTGACGTTCTCCACGAACAGTACTACCAGCAGGCGCGTTCTTTCATCAACTTCGACTGTCTTGGGTCTGGCAACCTAGAAAGCCTTCAAGCTCTGGCGTTACTTGGCGGCTACTATCTGCACTATCGAAACTCGCCGAACATGGCATATGCGGTTCTAGGAGCAGCTCAACGCGTAGCCATCGCTTTGGGTCTTCATCGCGAGCCTCGACGTCAGGCTTCAAGTGCCGAGCCTGCGATATCTCTGGGACAAATTTCGCGAATTGAGACGCGTCGAAGAACATGGTGGGGTCTGTTCTGTCTAGACTGCTGGGCCAGCATGACCCTCGGCCGACCTACGTGTGGTCGATGGGATGACAGCACCATGGACACTCTCTTACCAGTAGTAGCCCCTGACGACCACATTGCAATCTGCTTGAATGCTAGCGCTCAATTTTGTCTCATTGGGAACCGTATCCAGGCACGGTATGCCCAATTTGGTCGGATGACAGCTCAAGAGCTTATCGCATTCGACAACGAGTTGCAAGGTTGGCGTGACGATCTGCCAGAAATATTGCAGTCTTCGACTAATTCGCCATCTCGCATCACTATTGCCCGCGAGTTTATGCGTAACAGATATCTGAACGTGCGCTTGATCCTTCTGCGGTCGCAACTCCTTTACCTTGCCAATGGGCGCATTCGAAGGGAGGATCTCTCGCCTGAAGAGCACCAGCTTATCGGCAACTGCAGAACTGTTGCATGTGAAGCCGTGGATGCCGCTGCCCTGAATTGGACCTCGAATCGCGTTCACGTCTGGAACTCGGCTTGGTACCTATTTCAAGCCAGCATGGTCTTGTTGCTGTCCATTGTCGTGGAGAGTAGAGCTCAAATGGAAGGAGAAGGAGAAGGAGAAGAAGATACGATTGACCCTCTGCGCAACCGAGTCAGGAAAGCTCTACATACATTTACGGAGATGCGCCCTTGGATGCGCGACTCAGACCGGTCTCCGGAAATCGTGGCGGTGATATTCGAGGCCGTGACGTCCGACGCCTCGGCACTCCAGCGAACTCCATCAGGCACAGATAGGGAGTCGAACTTCTTTGGCTGGTACGATGAACAGTTTCATTTTGGAGGCGAGCCTGACTGGGGCTCTATTCTCCTAGAGGATGAAATGCAGAGACAGCTACTACCGCGCTCGTAACGCTAAGCAATCTACCCGCCATGCCAGTCTGAACTGTCGGCTTTGAGATCGTGATGGTCTTATGGCATCGTGATTCATCTGGCCTACCTGCCAGAATCAATTGCGCGATTTGATACTTGTATGTTCCGACATCAGGACCCTGGTCAATTCACAGAACCAAAATTTCTCTTGAAAGTCTCAACCAACACGGTACCGATCACAAACAAGCACCATCTGTCGTTCCCAGAGCGCCGAGACCCTCGCTATAGGTGGGAATTGTGCACCCCGACACGCGGACGGGAGGCCGGGGTTTGCGTTTCCTGTTTAGGACTGCGGAGGGTACCCAAAGTCAGAGCTATATGATATGACCCTCTTGTCGTATTGATCGGCATAACCCTGGGCTATGCCTGTTGCGGATTTTTAATTTGAATAACAGCGTTGTTGGCTTAGACGCGCAAATACTACCGAAGTCTTTAGTGAAAAGTCTGCCGAAAAGTTTGCCGTAAGGGCACTTTAGTACTTGTAGTTACTCCGAAGACCAACATACAAGTTCGAAAGCTAGAGATAGATCCCCTGTACGGCTCTATCCCTGACGTGGTAGCTCATGCCGGCACTTCGTCCCGTGTTGTCAAGAGCCTTGTCGCAATACCGATATTATGTCGAACCGGGTTTGCGAACTGCCCCTTGACTCCAATGACACCCTCACACGAGCAGTGTAACGGAGTCTCCCCTCCTTAATTACTAGATGTGCCTTCATTTACGTATCATTCATTTATTCTAATCCAATTTTGGAACAAGTTGCGCATAAGGTCGTGACCAATGGCCAGGGACATCACATGGACGGTACCCTAGGCCCGATTAGCATATGGGCATCAACCCAAGAACATTGGGATAACAATAAGGAAACAACAGGAGAGCCTAGAGGTGTGAAGACGCGCGGCAGTTTCTCGCAAGTATATAACAGAGATGCACCAGTGATCTGATGTTGATTGACGGTCTGGAGCACCGAAGCCAAGCCTCTGTCATTCACTCAGGTCAAAGATATCAACTTCAACATGAAAAACATCATAGCTCTAGTTATTATCTCGGCCGTCCAGGCTCATTGTATGTAGTCTAGCTACACCTTCTGTTTATGTACTGATGCTCACTCTTCCCTCAAGACACCTTCCCGGACCTTATATACAACGACGTGACCGAGACAGACTGGACTTACGTCCGCCAAACCGAAAATTACCAATCCCACGGCCCGGTTCAAAACGTCACCTCCGAATCAATCCGCTGCTACCAGCTCGCGGCGGGCAACGAAGGCGCCCAGACCCAAACCGTCACCGCCGGCGATGTCGTCGGCTTCCGCGTCGACCCGTCCATCCAGCACCCGGGACCTCTCGCTTTCTACATGGCCAAAGCCCCAACGGGCGAGGTAGCCGCTGACTTTGACGGCGCCGGCGACGTCTGGTTCAAGATCTATGACGACCAGCCTACCTTCGCGGCCGATGGGCTTACGTGGCCGTCGGCCGGGTTGACTGAGGTCAACGTTACGATCCCAGAATGTGTTGCGCCGGGGGAGTATTTGTTGAGGGTCGAGCATATCGCACTGCATGCTGCTTCGTCTGTCGGAGGGGCGCAGTTTTATATTGCGTGTGCGCAGTTGACGGTCGAGGGGGGCGGCACGACGGAGCCAGAGGGGGTTGCGCTGCCGGGGGCGTATAGTGCGACCGATCCGGGGATTTTATTTCAACTGTATTATCCGGTGCCGACGAGTTATGTCAACCCTGGGCCGGCGCCGATTACTTGCTAGATCCGAGGAGATGGGAAGATGCGGCCAAGTGCACCGTCGAAGGCCTACAAAACCCCGCCTCAAGCCAGAAGTAGCTATGAGATGAGAGTCAATACAACGTCTCTTTTTGACCTTCGCATTTATTATCGAGGAACGCGGGTTGCGCTTGACGTTGATACTTGGTTGTATTAATAGGACCCTGACAGCTTGTGAAGTGGGATGTCCATTCGGCTGTTGATGGCTTTTCTGATATTTCTGTGGTTGTCTATTCCGCCCTGATAAAGAGCTTCCGCTCAATGTTCTAGATATGCCGTTCACGATATTAGCCAATAATAAGTCCGACTTCCTCAAATTGGAAAAGGTCCATACCGCAGGAGCTAGCGTCGGCAAGGAGCGACTTAGAGGTAGAGAATTTAGTTGTGGTGTAGAGTCTACGTTAATTAATCGGTGCTTGCGATAATATCAAAGTGTCTAGGCAATTATGTGAAGTTTCTCCGGCGCGACCCATGCTGCCAGGTTGCTTGAGAAGTAGCCTTGAGAAGAGTTTTGGGAGGGGGAAGTGAAGGAGAAGTGCACCAGGCCGTCTTATAGTCCTGCCTATCCATTCGTTTGCGGCTGAAGAGGGTAATATCGCGGCCAAGGGATTGACGCGTTGTGGCCTTAAGTGCAGTAACTGAAAGGTCTACCAACAACAGACTCGTCGCTTGCTACCTTATTTTCCGGGAAGACAGTTGCGGTCAGGAAATTATGAACCAAGTTGTAACGATGGCATGGTTTGCAATGCAGTACCCGTGCCACGCCCCACCTTTTTTGATTTCGCCGAAGCTCACCAACTAAAGTTGGTGCTGGACACCAAGTTCGCCAGGACACCAAGTACGCCAGATTTCGCAAACATCCATCATTACACTACCATTTAACCACCAAAACGACGAAATTTTCGAGCTCGCGATGGCTTCACGTCTGTACGATGCCGTTCAATACGCCCTTGAACATCCGGAAGCCCCAAAAACGAGGGTGGCAGCTGCTTTCAAAGTCAAACGCGAAACCCTCCGCGATCGCGTCAATCGCCCTACAGACACCAAACAGCACGGCGGCAACAACAAGACCTTTACCAAAGCCGAAGAAAAGGCTCTTTGCAACTACATTGATCGGCTTGATCGAATCAATCTGGCTGTTCGCCCGGAGTTTGTTACAGAAGCTGCCAATCTGATCCTTTTGAAGCGGCTTCGGGCAACGGATAGCGAAGGCCGGCCGATTGAAATCCCTACAGTCGGTACGAAATGGACCACGCGCTTTCTAAAGCGTCATGGATACTTCCATCGAACGCAAAAACAGCTTCAAGCTGAACGTCAATCTGCTGAGGACGTCGAGTCTATAACGCTCTATTACGAACGGCTTCGGACGGTTATTCTAGAAAACGGGATTGGCCCTAATGATACCTGGAATATGGATGGAACTGGGTTCCGGATCGGAGTAGGCAAGAATCAGCTAATCGTAACCAAGCGGAAACGCGCTCACTACTTCGGCTTGCCAGAAAATAGGGAATCTGCTACTATTATCGAAACTATCTCTGCTGGCGGCGCTTCTATCCCGGCATTTATCATCCTTCAAGCAACTGTTCATATGGCTCAATGGTACCAACAAAGCCTCCACCCCGAAACGAAGATATGCCCAGTCGATACTGGGTATTCAAATGATGAGGTCTGCTTAGAGTGGTTAAAGCATTTCGAATACCAATCCAGAAAGTCGCAAAAGGGCCGTCGCCGTTTATTAATTATAGATGGCCACGGTTCACATCATACGAAGCAATTCATCCAGTTCTGCGAAGATCACGATATTATCCCCTTTGGATTGCCACCTCACCTTACCCATCTTTTGCAACCGCTAGACGTAGTGGTTTTTCAACCGTACAAACACTACCACGCAAAAGCGCTAGATCTGCTGGTTCGTGATGGCGTTCAGAACATCTCCAAACTGGAGTTTTTGTCAATTATCGAAAACGTACGCAAGTCTACTTTCAAGAGAAGTACTATCGAATCGGCCTTCCGAAAAACTGGCATCTATCCATTCAATCCTACCCTAGTTTTGCAGGAGGTCTATGAACGGCAAGCCAAAACACCTACACCATCACCACCACCTCATTCTTCCTCTATCGATAATACTCCGACTACTCTACGACAAATTCACAAAGTAGCTGTACATATCGAGAACTCCCTTTCGGACCCTGAGCTTGGTCTTAGCCCCGAATTCGCCACCAAGCTAAATCGGTTTATCAAAGGGTCCCTGATCAACGCTACGGAGCTGGTCCAAGTTAAACGGGATCTTGGCCGCACCAAATACGCCGAACGAGTTGCAAAACAGCGCCGATCAATGAAGAACTATCAACTTCAATCCGGAGGAGTTTTATCTGTTTCAGAAGGCCGGGAAATGGTCAAAAAAAAGGTTGAAAGTGAAGTCGTCAAGGCACAACGGATTTTGGATAGCCATAACGAACGTATAAAAAAGACCGCCAAGAAGGCCTTTTCAGAAGCAGCCAAAAAGTCCAGGCAATGGCGAAAAGATGGCAATTTGAAGCCAGCAGAGATTGTAACTACAGGTGGTGTGGTTAAGCAGCTACGTCGATTTTAGTTAATAGCAGCTATTTTTGCGAAATCTGGCGTACTTGGTGTCCTGGCGAACTTGGTGTCCAGCACCAACTTTAGTTGGTGAGCTTCGGCGAAATCAAAAAAGGTGGGGCGTGGCACGGGTATGTTGAGTGTAGCAGAAGACACAGCAAAAATATAGCCCTGGGACCGGGCACCTCGCGGACCAATACACATGTTCTAGCCGATTACATGTAAATGCTTAAGCCATTAGTCTCCTCTGATAAGTTAGAAGTTAATTTGTAAATGATAAGCGGTTCTTGTAGCGTTACTTAGCATGTAATACAATTGGGATACCTTGTCCTGCTGCCTGTCATCTCGGCCATGTTGGAATTGGCATCTATGGCACCTGTGTGCTTCCCATTATTTCTCTTTGAACTCTCTAACAATACAATACCCGTCGAAGATGTACAGTAGTTAATGCCGTCAACTAGAGCAAGCGCCTGCTGCTTCAAAATTAGAAGAGCAATTGTTATTACTGAGTTAGTACTGTTACCTAAGGGGCAACTTACTAACTTCAACTACGACAGCAGAAACCAGAGTCATCGGGTCAAATCTATAAGGGGCTCTAGAAGCAAACTTTCTTCGTTTATGCAGGTGTGCGCTTGGATCACTTTATCATCAGAGCAGAGTATTGGTTGAGTTTCTTCATACAAGATGTATTGTAAGTTCCCCCCGATGAAGGGAGCAAAAATACACGAGTCAAGAAAAAGTAAGCTCAAAGCTTGCCCGAAACCTTCGCTCCCAGTAAAATCATTGCCCTCCAGCCTTTTGTCCGTAAAGTTTGTGTGGGCAATATAGCATATATTGGCGATGGTTATGACGTGAGGGAATAAGCTAGGAAGCTACAATGGACGACGGGACTTAAGTATCACAGCTATGGCATGACTTGGCTCATGGAACAGTTTCATATGACGGTTCCTTCAAGACCGTATTGTTCGTTTTCATGCCGCTGTGTTACTGCATGTGAACTCCTTGGCAGCGTTAGCCCATAACACATTATAGAGTTTATGTCATGCAGCTTATTTGCAGGTAGGTCATTGCCAATCGTCCATAGAAACATCTTCTATCTTTAGCAAAAACCATACGATACAGAAACAAGTTGAAACACTATAGCTCAGATCTGCCAAGAGTCTCAGGTGTATTTCGTCGTCGGCCACGCGAGTCATAGACACATACATACTGATTCCCGGGCTTGCACAGGAACTCGAATGCAAGAAGAGCAATCACTTAACTACGAAAAAGATGACGTTCTTTGACAGAATATTATTGTTGTTGACCTTTGCCACCCTTACAATTACGAGCTGGACTCAAGCTGCCGCCATCGGCAACAAATATGCCGTCGCAAACACGAAAAGAGTCACGATCGAAGGCGAAGGCATAGTAGTCCAGCCTCTTACCGGAGGCCAAACAGCCGAAGTTGGTCCAGGCGGCAAAAATATCACGACGACAACGCCCACCGAGGAACCTACGTCACAAACCATCAATTTGGGAGGAATACCCGTGCAGGTCTCGGGCGAGGACATCACCTTGAACGGCAAGCCGCTTGAGACGGGACCGAAAAACACAACAGAGTCTGAGGATACTCTAGAAGTGGCCGGAAGTGATATAGTCGTGAATGGAAAGCCGCTTGATGAACCGGGGACAGGGAATACGACCGATCCGGGGCTGACCATCACGATCGGGAGCTAATTGAAAATGAAAAAATCTCGAATGGGATTCGAAGAAGATATGTGAAGCACGGTTGGCGGCATTTCTACTCGGCATTACTGGCGGTAATAGGAGACGGGAGAGCAAAGAATTTACTTGGTGGATACGTGGCCATAGCAGACTTCATTTCTTGGCAATTTGATTGTTAATAGAAAGCATAGAGAAATGTCTATATAGAAAGTACTTGCTCAACTTGATATATGGACTTTACGAATTGAAAATCAATGAAGACTTCCAAATCTCTCAGTCGTACATCTGTCTCCTCTGTCCGTTCGAACTAGTATAGCGCTAGTTGTTCTCGAAGCTAGACAGGAACATTATCCATTACGCCCACTTCGGTCTATTAGGGGTGAAATTTACTCACCCAGCATGCCATCAGAAGCAATCTACCCTCAGTCGTCATTACACTGCATCTTCCCAATACACCTCTCAGTCTCCGATGACACTCACGGAAATCATGTCATAAAATGTCAATCTTGACACTTTGCATGACCACTCGCGGCTTTTGCTTAGGCTAGCTTAGGCATATCTGAGGCATAGCTTAGTTTAGCTCAGGTTAGCTTAGACGTAGCTCACCCTGCTCGCCCGCCATTACCTCGATTCCGGAGGTCTTAAGAAGTGTTCAATTAGACCGTGGGGTACGTTATACCTGGTCCTATTATAGCTATATCGCAAAGGAACCTTTTCGGTATTTATAGAGGTAAAAGCGAGACGGAAGGTGCCTATCGCCTAGGCCTTTATAGCCTAGGAGGTGTTATAGAGGCACAGGCCCTTGTTACTTTTCACATGTAGTAGCTAGTCCACTTCACTGTCTTCATAACTCGTAGGCTTCTGTAAGGTAGTATTATAAACGATATTTTCAGCAATTGTTTGAGTTCATTAGGTGACGTAGTCCACGGTCCAATTGCACACTTCGGCAGATTTTCGTACGCTACCACTTTGACCTGCGGTTTTTCACCACATAACTATGGTTGGTTCTTGGAATGAAAGTGATATGATTCTAGCATTACATGCGCTTCAATCTGATCCAAAATTAAGTGTACGTCGCGCTGGTCAGATCTATAACGTACCTTTTAGAACCCTTGCGTATCGACGCGACGGTAAAACCGCTCGAGCGATTACGCGATCGCCAACGCAAAAGTTGACTCCTTCCGAAGAAGAGGCAATCGTACGACATATAAACGACCTAGATTCGCGAGCATTTCCTTCCCGATTGAGTGGTGTTGAAGATATGGCCAACCGATTACTTTGAAGTCGCGACGCGGGACGCATCGGCGTCAACTGGGCCTCGAGCTTCGTAAGACGACAACCAGACCTCCGGACGCGTTTAAATCGAATTATCGACTATCAGAGAGTCCTCTTCGAAGATCCCGACGCGTATCGCGCGTGGTTTGACCTGGTACGGAATACAATTGCGAAATACGCGATCCAGGAGGAGGATATCTACAACTTCGACGAGACCGGTTTTGTGATGGGCCAAATCTCGTCCGAAATGGTCGTGACGACTTCTGATCGGCGCGGAAGGCCTAGAGCAGCCCAGCAAGGAAATCGGGAATGGGTTACAGTTATTCAAGGCGTTGGGTCGTCCGGTTATGCCCTCCCTCCGTACATCATTTTCGCCAGCAAAACCCACCTCTCGTCATGGTACGAAAACAGCCCATTACCGCCTGATTGGGTTATCGCAGTTACTAAAAATGGCTGGACTACGAACGAGAGAGGCGAATATTGGATAAAACACTTCGATCATCACACCAAGTCTCGTACGAAAGGTACTCATCGCCTATTGATCCTCGACGGTCACGAAAGCCATCACTCGACCGATTTCGAGGTATATTGCAAAGCTAACAATATCGTCACGCTTTGTATGCCTCCTCATTCGTCGCATAAGCTCCAGCCTCTTGATGTTGGTTGTTTTCGCGGGTTAAAAAGAGCGTACGGAAAAGAAATCGAAGATCTCACGCGAGCACATATAAGTCATATCTCGAAAGAAGACTTTTTACCGGCGTTTTTAACCGCGTACAACGCAACTTTCACGGTTTCAAATATCCAAGGAGGTTTCTGAGGGGTAGGAATAGTTCCGTACGATGCAGATTATGTCATATCACAGCTCGATGTGAAATTACATACGCCAACACCTCCGGGTAGCTCGGCTGGTCTCCCCGTCACTTGGGAATCAAAGACTCCGAACAAGCCAACCGAAGCCCAATCACAAACCAATTATGTGAAAAATAGGATTGTACGACATCAAAATAGCTCACCAACGTCAATTTTTGCTGGAATAGATCAGATTGCGCGAGGTACAACGAAGGTTATGCATCGGCTTGCCCTTTTAGAAGGCGAGGTCGAATCACTTCGAAAGGCAAATGAGACCTTAAGTCGACGTCGCCGTGCGAAGAAAAAACAGCTACAGAGTGGAGGGTCACTTCGTATACAAGCTGTACAGGACCTACAGTCTCAACGAGAAGTTGATGGGCAGTTACATGACGAATTTCGTCAAATTGGTGGTCGTACGAGGCGGCGAATTGCGCGTGTACGACGCTGTAGAGTCTGCGGCGAGCCCGGACATAATGCGCGCACTTGTGGAAATGATGTAGAGACGTCTGAAGATAACGATTCTGAGTAGTTTCAATTGATGATAGGCGTTGTGGTTGAATTAACTTATACATTGTCGTATAAGGTCTGCCAAAGTGTGCAATTGGACCGTGGACTACGTTACTGTATTTGCTGTTACTAGTATTCTGGTCCTATTCTAGCTGGTCCCAAACCTCGAACGCGGGGTAAGAAAACTCTATACCAACTGTGTTTTCTTATTCATAGGATTAGAATCTCAGCATGAAAATTTATGTCCTAGATCTTCAACATTCAGAATGTGTGTAGTCGAAGTTGGACTTTCATACAAAGAAGCACGAAATACTCACATCATACTGCTATATATAGAACATCGCGGGATTTGCGGAGCCCGTAGTGACTAGAAACTGAATCCAGACGCTATTATGATCGTGAGATTACTATAATATCGAATTATATATAAGGCTAAGGCGGTAACGGCTAGCAGAATCGTCTATAGTTTAGGGTAATAACGTCGGATTAGCGCTCCTTCTAATAAAATGGAAAATCATAGGAATCAGCGAATCCGCGAATCCGCGAATTAGCTAGAATCGACGATTTGTAAGGAAATAGCCATCATGGCGGGCCGGTCTCAGCCGACAAGCTGAGTCTGGGGGGTTTCGCCCCCGATTCGGTAGCCCCGGAACCACCTAGTCAAAGAGAACATCTCGAGGCGCTCCTACCTAACTTAGATTCCTTAAGAACCAGTCTTGCAATATACGTCCCCGTAATCCTGGCGCCTCATAGCCGCTCTTTGCACTACCAGACTATTCCCGTGAGACGTGTGATATCCTCGTTACACGGAGTTAGACTCTAACAGACTTAGCGAAGCAGAGGATTATATAGTAGTACACTGGCTGTACTTAATTTAGTAAAAATCGTTGAATTGTGTGGTTAGTAAGTACGAAGTAACGTTATGTTGAAGTTCGCAATTTCTTTCTAGGGCCCAACAACACGATATTGGAGTTTTCTTGGCTGTAGCACCTCAATGCCCAGACCTTCCGGTATCTACAGCCAAGCCAATCACCCTGTACTATCTCCTCCGATACAGCATGTATTCTGGGGTCATTTTTTGTCTTCGTGTACTTTCAAGGATCTTATGGCCCATTTGCGCTCTTGGGAAGGATTTGGAGAGATCAGAGACACACTCAATTCTATGCTTATTATAGCTTGCGATAAGTCTGATGACGTCTTTATAGATCGGTATAACTTGATGGGGTGTCCTCTCTAGGCATAGATGATCTTTAAACAGCTCTGGTAGTGTGGCGGATGAATAGGGATTAGAGTCGAGGTGCGATCTTTTGGCTCTTGGGATCGTAGACTGATTGGTCATTGGTGTCAAATTCGTTGCGGTATGGTGTTGGTCTGGAGATTTGTGTAATCCGGACGTAGGCCTAACCCCAGAACCATTTGCTTCTTTGGCGAGGAAGTTACTGTCGCACTCAACAGCCTCGTAAGTAATACTTGCTGCCGGTGGTGAAGGATTCATGACGTGTTCATACTCAGGGATGGATTATCAACTCGTGTAGACCAAGCCTATGTAAAACGACTTGAATTAATACGAAGGCGCGAGTTGAATAGGCGGGAACTGCTGTATATATAATCATAACTGTTAGTCGAGGCTCAATCGAAAGGGGGGAAGGGGATGGGCTCGGCCACCACCATGGCTGTGGTATAGATCCCACCAATGCACTGCAAATAAGATGTTTCAGGCACAGGTTTATCAGCTCCAGTATTATGTGGTTAGGTTTGTAACTATAACGTTGTATTGTCTCAAGTCCAGTTTCAACATCCCCGTTGGACACCTTTGCTCATTCGAGCAGTCCTTGATAGTTAGCAATTCTACAGTAGTTTCACGCCGTGGAAAGATACGATATAGAAGACGCATAACCAAGTTGTGTCTTATTGAGCATCGGACTTCGCGAAAACCCCTAGAATCCCCTGAGGAAACCCCTCTTCCTAATTGGTGGCTTCTCCCCTTCCCTCTTCCTAACCTCCTTCTTTCCCTCAAACGTATCCACCACATAACGATCTTTATCCCTTTCTTCCTTCCTCTTCTCCCTTTCGTTCGCCCACCTCATGAAATAACAACACAGCGGAAACAGCGCCGTGTTCACCGCGGTCCAAGCACACAACACCCCAAAGTTCAGCCCAATTCGCGAATGCAAATCAAACAAAATATGCCGACTCGCCTCCACGATGTTATGCAGCGGCCATGCATAACCCCACTTGAAGAACCCCGGCGCGAGGTCTATGGCGTAGAATGAGGTCGACACGTTGGTGATAACCCAGAAGATGAGCCAGAGCGCCGTCCAGGGCTGCCCGACGAGCATAGCGACATTTTCACAGGCGATGCCCAGGGCGCACATACCGACGAAATTAAGCATCCAGTAGACGGGGAAGGAGGCGCGGCCGTACGCCGTGGCACCCAAGGCGACTGAAGTTGGGGAGGCAGGACTGGGCCAAAAGGGCACTTGGAAGGCGAGGGAGACGAGGGAGTATACTAGAGAGATGATAAAGTAGGCGGTCATGGTGGCAAGCCAGCGCCAGATAATAAGTTGGTAGAAGTGGAGGGGCGGGTGACCTTGGGGGTTAATGTAGTTCTGACAGGATTTAGTAAAAGGGGTTGAGATGGGTGGGGACATCTGGAAGATTACTTACGTTGTGGATAGGTAGGAAGAAAGCAAAGGAAAAGAAAGCCACTATGATAAGATAGATAAGACCGATCGTGACGGCTGGCGTCGCCTGAGCGGGTTGGAATGGCCTCAAGTCAACCATCGAGGGTAAGATGCCGGGGTTCACAGCCTGTGGTACTCGAGCCAGCACACTATTTGACGTGGATGTGTTGGACATGAGACTCTGAATCCACTGTGAGCCAAACTCTGTAACAAACGCTTTCGTGAACTCCTGAAGTTGTGGGATGATGTAGGTATAATAAGTCGTCTCATCCCTGGCCGAGAGCATAATAATCTGCACTGCTCCCGTTGGATCGTAGGAAGCATTGCCGGTCGAGACAGCTTCTACCAACAAAGCTGTGGCATTGGGGTTAACAATTATAGCAGCATATGAGTGCCAGTCGTAGACTGCCCGTCGGACTGCAATGGGATCGTTGTGGAACTGAGACGGTGGCAAGATCGTGTAGCCAAGGCAAGGTTGACCGACTTCTTCGACCTTTTCCATGGCCAGTTGGGTGACCAATGGACCTACTACGGGCTGCACATTGGTGTAAGGGGCAACTTGGCCATCGAAATCGACGACATGGACAACCAGGTTCCCCAGACGGCCCTCAACGCCGTACAAGACTGCCCAGTACAGTGACAAAATAGCCAATACGAAGACTACAAGTATACATACTGGAATCCATTAGTATTATGCAATATACACATGTGTCGTTAAAATAGGGGGAGCCAAAATACCTGTCTTAATCCATGACAGCAATACATGGGCCCTGACCTTGCTCATTTGATGATGCCAGAACCCAACTGACTGGTGCGGCTGATTTTGGTGCACCCCCCTATCCACCCCAAACATGGAATTAACATGTTCATCGGTATTTCGACTCTTCCCATTCGCACTCGTAGTCACAGTCTCCCAATCCGAGTAAAGACGAGTCTCCATCGTAGTCGTCGGAGTCGAATCGGAACACCAAGGATCCCGTGCGGCGACAAGTAAGCTCGAAGCATCCGGTATTTCTCTGCTTCTAGCGGCCATGGCTGCTGTGAGAGGACATAGCTATTATACCAATTGAATTTGATCACAAATTTCCAAACATCGGCTTACCGACGACGCCTCTAAACTAGGTTCGCAACTTACAATGCTTGATATGAGGAAAAGGTGGCCCGTCGGTTGCTAAGTCTGCCCGTTGCCCACGCGCACTGATGGTATGTGATGAGCGACGCAGGCAAACCGTGACGGAACCGGAATGGTGATGTCACCCCTTGAGCTCTACCGGATCTGGCGGATGGCTTGCTGTCAAACGATTGGCCGCAGGCAGTGATCTACCGACGATTCACTTGGCAGACCATCCAGAAACATATGCAACGAGGACAGACATGGCGGTACGAATCTCGCCGCCATGGCAAGCGGCGGCCAGATTGTGCGGAGAGCACCCTCCGGCATGTGGTTGATCATGAGATCCGGGGCAACCTCCTCCTCTAGTGAAGTACCTCTTAATTGGCTTCAAAAACTTCTCTTTCAAGACCCAATTCAATACTAGTGAATGCTTGATCAGTTAAACCAAGCATACCAAGCATTGCCCAAATGTCAGGTGCAACCACCCCGCAATGGTGAAGATTCGTCTATGAACGATGCTGATACTAAAGATGCTTAATCAGTTAAACCGAGCATGCCAAGTATTGTCCAAACGCAAGGTGCAAACCCACAATGGTGAGGACCGTTGTGGCACTGTATACAAAGATGCTTCATACGGACCGGACACATTTGTGTCCACCGGCCACCTTCGCAGTTAGGCTTCATCCATCCTGATCACAACTCTCATTCTAACCCTTACACCAAATCCAGGCCAGCCACCGTCCCATCTGGGCATCCCTCGCTGCCAAACCACGTGATACAGGAATGCCAGGTCTACATCAATGGCTAAAGGCTGAGATCCATCCACCACATGGCGGAGACGCATCTAACTCTATCAAGCACCTTAAACAGAAGGTGATAATGGTTTATTTATATTTCTTGTAACCAACCACGGGCTATGCTAGACCGGCCTTCCCCCGTTTGGTTTCCGGCGAGATTCCCATCTCATCACCCTCATTCAGTCAGTCAGTCGACTTTGGACCCGAGACCGAACTGGGTGTTGTCTTCGACGAGTTTCGTCCCAACGGCTCCGGGTTTTCGACTCTGGAGGCGACTGCACCACTTGTAATGCATATGTCGAAGAAGTACGAAGTTAAGATCCGAATTCGCGACACGCGAGGTTTCTGCTGAGAGTAAAAAGCAGCTCGGAGGTAGCAATGGCGATGTGACCGTCACAAAATTGGAAGTGAAACTCGGAGTATTTTACAATCTGTTATTCATTGAGCAGCGAATTGCCAGCTATCTATTACAGCCCATCCAGGCTGTACTTATCCAATTCGTTCTAATCATAAACGAGTACAAATGTACAGGAACCACTTTCCCACACTCGTTCATCCATCCTCTATCTCTTATATCTTGTCCTTCGTCCCACGCTTGAAAGCAAGAACATAGTACAAATAAACAAACAAAAATGTCGCGTGAACCTTTGCCACCCCATAATCATGTGATGACGATGATGCTAAGTAACCCTGACGCCGTGCCTGGGGGAATATGTGTAACCCGTAGATAGAAGACAAAGGAAGGAATGATAGTAGAGGAATGATAGTAGATATGAAGGAAATCACAAGTTGATGGTGAGGAGTTCTAACCTCGCCATTGTGGCCTCAAGGCTGGCAGAGATGCGCTGCACCCGCATTAATGCTCGGGAAGCAGTGGCGTCCTCTGTTGAAGCATCGACGAGCTGGTAGTGCGCCAATGCCTTTTCCGATTCGACGCCACCGAAGAGGTCAATATTGGACAGGCTGTCCGCATCAACCTCGACATCTGACGAGACCGGCACCTCGTCGTCGTAGATGTCAGCATCGAGATCGGCGACAGTCTTCTCGCCCATTGTCGGGGCGACAGGAGACGCGGGCGCATCGTTCTTGACCGACTCCATGGTGGGCATTTCCACCTTCTCATTGACCGACTCGAAAGACTCGGGCATAAGGCTGGAGGACTTGCCAGAAAGCATGGCAGCGTCAATCACCGGCATCTCAGGGGTCTCGACAGTGAAGACCTGCGGCTGGTAGCTGTAGGCATCGTTGGACTCGAGGTTGAGCATGGAGAAATCCATGTTCTGCTCGGGGATCATAACCATGCCAATCTGTTGCTGCTGAGCTTGGTGGGCAGCCGCGTAGGCGTTGACATCCTTGGGCATCTGGCGAGCTTCGGATTGTCTCTGGTCAACGTGCTGAGCCAGTTGTTGCTGCTGTTGTTGAGGGACGGATGCAGGGTTGTTGCTCAGGTTGTCCAAGAAGTTGGAGAAAGACGGAGAGGACAGGAGCATGCGGGTAAGGTCGGACAAACGCCTGTTCTCATCCAAAAGAGCACGGTTTTGTGCGCGGAGGTCACCGTTCTCCGTAACCTTGGTGGCAATCTCTGATTCGAGCTGGGTGATGTATTCTGTGACAGGTTAGCAATGGTAACAGGGTTTGGGATGAGCGCGTAATACTGACCCTTTCTCCGTGAGCGGAAGGCGCGAGCAGATACTTTGTTGCGCAGTTGGCGTCTCTCCTTACTGCTGAGCTTCTTGCCCTCTTCGCTAGCCAGCAATCTCTCGTCCTCGTCCATGTCATCCTCATCCTTCTTGGGTCGCGAGGTGTTCATGAGAGGGGAGTTCAGCTCGGCCTCAGACGTGCCACTCTTGGCGCGCATCGAGTTGAGTAGTTGGGTAATCTTCTGCTCGACAATGGGGTCCGAAGGGTGAGCACCCTTGGGCTTCTGCTGCTTCGGCTGCATGTGTTGCCTCTGTTGTTGTTGCTGCTGGATGATCTGCTGCTGCTGCCTCTGTTGGGCCTGGGCCTTGGCCAAGGCGGCTTGTTGGTGCATACCCGGGTACATCCTACCGACGTTGCTTGCAAATGTTGGAGACGGGGACAAAGTCTGCGCGTCGCGGCCACCCATGGCGTTAGGGTTGATGGTGTTCTCGGGGAAGAAGAAAGACGCCTCTGGCGGGGACTCGAAGTCCATATCCATGTCCGGTGATGATTGAGGCGCGGTGTTGAAGTCGAAAATATCGTTGCTTGGGCTCGTGTTCAGGTTGTATTCGAGGTTGTAACCCATGTGTGAGTTGGTCTGGTTCAGGGCAATCGTGCTAGCCAATGCGCCGGGGACGAAAGGCGTCTGTTGCTTGTACTGGTCATATTGGTGGCTCGGGCCAGACAGGTTCTGGCTTGGAGGCATCACGGACGTTGTGGCAGTCGTCGTCGACGGTCTGGAGAACTGAGGCTTCGTGGTTGCTGGCGACACTGATGGTGATTGATACGGCAGGCCGTCGTACTCGGAGAAGTCTAGTAGATCTAGAGGATCAACGACGCATCCGTTTTGGTTGTTCGTCTGGCTGGTGGACGAGGTGGATTGGCTAGAAGCCGACATGATCTTGCAGAGGTATTATACTGTTGAGGTGGTATGGAGACAGTCCAAGACAGAGAGTTTCCCTTAGATGAGGGCGGATGGATACGACGTCGAGCCTTCGTTTCGTTGTAGGGGAACAAACCGGTAGAGATAAGGGAATGGGACAGGATGGGGATTTGGATGTTATGGATGCCTAGCAGTGGCCTGAGAGTGCTGCGAGTGGACAAGTGGACAGTACAGAGACTTGGCAGGAACTTGACCCGGATAGGAAAGTTGGCCGGGGTGCGACGGTTTTGGTCGGGGGGAGGGACGCGTAAGCCTCTGGTGAAGGTGCTCCTCGGCAGACCAATAGACGGCGGCGAAACTCGGGCGAGTGCGAAATGGCCGACCCAATCAGACGAAACCTGAGGATGCTCGCACAGAGTTGGCGCAGCGAAAGCAACCGTTGCACACAAGCTCGCCAAAAAAAAAAGGGATTCCTGCGGCCTGAGGATGACGACGCCGGCTTCCTATTAAGACTAGACGTCGAAGGTGCAAACAAGCTATTTTGGCGAAACCGACAATGATGGTTGGCTGTCCACAAGTGGTATACAATGATGACGATGGTGAAGACGACAAGACGACGAAGATTGATTATTTTGTTGAGAGAGCACGCTTGACAAGATGGGAATGGAAATGGTATTGGTAGTCTTGACCGGCGCTGATGGGCAGCTTATTGAGATAATATGTAAACGCAGCAGTCCAGTCCGTCCGAAGCAGCCATACCATACCCCTAGGTACCTGGGTACTGAGTTGATTGTGGTAGGGATCTTGCTCCACGTCCAATACCCGGACGCTGCGGGTATAGTATTACCCAGCGACGGACACCCAAGTGAAGTGGCACCCATTCAATTTCATGCAGGTGTCAGTTTGCTTGTACTCCTTGAGCTGAGCATAAGCGAGAAGTTGGTAGTAGCCCCCAAACCGCCCGCCCACATAGCGACATAAAGCAGAAACGCCCCTCAAAACGTTTCCCTACGTGGGTCTGAACTGTCGGATGAGCCTGGCTCGCGGTAAAATATCCCGTCGTCCACCCACAATCCACAACGCATAAACGACGGGGTCAAGGAATCTGGAACCCTTTTAGCAGCAAGGTAGCGCTCTCCGTGTCTAAACTGTCTGTGGGGCCCATCGGCACAATCAGATTGAATTCCACTCGAGCAGATACGATGCCCACAGGGAGCACTGCCACCACCGAGGCTGATGGATCATCTGGATTGTCCAATAGGGATATTCTCGCTTCTCGCCAACCCACTCGGCCCTGTGGCTGATGCATGGATGGGTTCCCCTGTCGGACTCGACCTGCTGAGAAATCTGCTGAACAGATACGACAAAAAGACATCAGCGCAGTGATGACAGGGAGCAACCGCCTCAGGATAGCTGCTGTTGCTACGTACAGGCTCTGAATCCGTTCGTTCCCGAGGTCGGTCGTCTCCCGGGACCGAAATATTGTCTGCTTTATTACCATAGTATTTGATTTGCGCTCCCGTTTGTTCACGGTCCTCTTTTTGGATTGGCCTCGACGATCCTCAGATCGGTCTCTGCTTTGGGGAGTTAACGAAAGGGGGGAACAAAGCCGACTGTATTATGTAGGCCCTGAAACAGGCTTGTAGTTCCCGTAAATGTAGTCCCACCTTCTGGAACATTTCCCCGTAGCGTCTAGAGCCCAGATGGGTGGCCTCCCGGACTAATTTCTCAAATGAGATTCGCATTATTTCGCTACTCAAACTTTAACAATTGACACTTCACCATGCTTGCAATAACTCGCAATGATCCTTTCGGTTTAACAGTAATTCAGTAATGGGGTGAGTCGCAAGAACAGCTAAGGGAAGCACGACTTGGAGCACTGACCTGTCTAACTGCCCTGGTCCCCACCTCGGAGAGTCGGGCACTGACCTCGGTCGCCGTGATAACTTTCCGATGGGAACTTTTGGGTTTGACTTGAGTGCAAAAATAGCCGCGACCTGACGTGACAGCGTTTCATCCAGCTCGGGCGAGATCCTCTGAGCGTCTCCTGACAACCTGAAGATGGTTGGACCATGCCTCCATGTCTCTGCTGAAGCAACTGGGTCCTTCACGGGCGCCTTTACTCTTTTCATGCAGCATCATGGCACTTCCTCCTTGCCATTCGGCAACTCTGGGGCCGATGTGGGCGGCACAATGGGTTATCTCCCAACAGCGCTGTGACGGGGAGTCTCTATGGGATCCCAGTTTCAATATCACGGCAGTTTTACCGTTTGGGGATGCTGTTCATATCCCCTTTTATGCGGGTTCCACAACCAGACTATTTGGAGACTGCCGTCCAATCTTCCTGGGCGTTCTTCACGTCAAGCTTTTTCTCGTCAGTCAGCCTTGGCCAAAAACTTGAGATCTGAAGCCGACTTGCCCAGGCTATCCGGTCCAGACTTCTCGCTCGATACTAGCACAAGTGCCTAGAGGTGGAATCGTAATGCCCTCAGACCCGCAGATGGGACAGTGCTGGGGCTTGGTTCTTGCTCGTTCCAGTATTATCAGCTGGACAAGGTTTTTACTTGCGGATCAGAGTAATGGGCGAAGCACGGCAGAACAACACAACAACGGACGGCAGGCATTGAAAACAAATGTTCAAACGAACGACAGGACGGATGTGGTGTGGCACCATTGTCAACCGACGATATGGGTATGCATTTGTTGGCGATGCTGTGGCGTATCTCTTCCACCGGTTGCGTTGCCCGGTTCAGGCTATTTGTCGAGCCCATGAAGAATAATGTGACAATGATCCAGCACATCAAGCACCGCAGTCCAGCGCTTATTACGCTTCGCCGATGGCCGCAATCTCGATATGACAGCATCGATGATTGATCGTCGATGCAGGTGCACAAGTACCGGTGGCTGTTGGCTGTGCCTCAGAAGAATTCAGCTATTCAGCCAATCAGCCGACCTAAACTGCAAACGGTGTTGTGGCGTTGTGACGTTGTGGCGTTGTGACGGTGCATTGCATAGCATATGGCACGGCAGATTTTGGTACTGTACCAAGATTGATATTGAAATATGGGGCCTGACAACTTTTGGCGATTCCGACACTTCATATATATTGGATGATTTCAGATGAAGTCCCTTACATTCCTTTCCCAGGCACTATTTCCGCTGCACTGATTATTCCTTGGCCCCCAGCTCTCCGGGCATATTTCTTTAGCGGAACGCTTTTTGAATATATTTTGCCAAGTGTTCGCATCAAATTCCAAGTCACAATCCTCTCGACAGCTTAGCCATGCTATACTAGCTCCTTGAGTAAGCTTAAAATGGACCCCAAGCCCTACAAGTACGGTGCCAAGATCGCGGGCCCGAACATGTCCGGTTCTCAATCCTTCTGGCAACTTGAATTGTTTTATATGTTCGTCTCCGTTTTAGGTGTTTGCTGTATTGGCCTGTTCAAGTGTGGTGGGTGGCGAGCCTCAAGAGGGTTACGAGTCATGTCCGCGGTATGGCCGATATCCCCTAATTGACTTGGAAGATTCAGGTAGACAGCAGATTTTTCGAATATCGTATATTTCAAAAATGGAAAAAGTAAGAAAAAGATGTTGGGAACATCAGCCGCAAATAGAGAACCGAGTCACCGAGTCTACGAGGTGGCATCAACTCGGATTCGTCCCATCTCACATGTCCATCGTATCTCCACGCTAGCACGCGCGAAAATCTAGCACAACGAACTGAACTAACTCTTCACCTCACCTTAAATTGCCCTGAATAAACTTCATCGGGCTCGAGTCGTGTTTGGGGTAATTCCTCTGATGGTATGTGCATCCTTACAGTGATGTCATTGCTAGAAACAGGATATGAAGGTGTCCTCGGATTGCATATTTTACTAATCAAAGAAATGTATCCATCTGAGTGGGAAGAAATTCAAAGTCTGGATGACATTTTTCACACACTCCGGTCCAACTCGCCGACATCTCGCCTTGTCCGGATATCACGATTTCGCGCAGAACTATAAGACCGAGCGGGCCGGCCCTGACTCGTTGCTGCCGAGGACAAGCCAAATTGGGGACCGAATGGCGAGTGCCTGTCACCTTGCGGGATAATAATGGGCACCCTTTCTAATCACGGACCCTTTCTAAAATAGAAATCAATGCAGAAGTGAACGCCGCGCAGGGTTGACCGCGTTAGTGTTGTTCGTCAATTATATTTCTACTACCATACCAAAACAAGATAGCGGCACGCACTCTGAAGAATGGTGTTCTACAGACTTATTGCAATAACAAAGCATGGAATTGATTGTCTCTCATCTCCCCAAATCAAAAGGAGTGAAGGTAGCCATAAGGATGTTAAGTAAAAAGGGATGCCTCTTGATTGCATACTGAGTCAGTTGCTGATACACCAGAGGTTTTGATCTTGAAATTATAACAGTTGGCTGTTGCCAAGGCTTTGGTGCTCAGGGTCCATCCATCATCAGTGAACTCGCTATAGTGACGGTAATACCGAAAAGACAGTTTTGGAAATCGAAGACTGGTGCGGTCCGACACTCTACTATCTGACCAGCGTGACATGTTGTTTCCATTCTCGGCAATGTATATTTTCAACTCTCCTACCCTACCCTGTTACCGACAACTTGCTAGAACAGCCCATTGGTCCTTCTTCTCATTTCTACATGGACCTGCAGTAGTGGGATCAGTGTTTGCCAGGCAAACCGAATGCCTCGCTCCTAAGTTCTCTTTCCATGTGGAGAGTCGTGAGTTTCTCAAAATGTGTTATACTTATCCAGAGGCGAACTTGAACGTGAATAATACCATACCCCAGCAAAGCACTTATTCTACCGTGTTTTTTCATACAGTCATTGGCATCGTGAAGAGGGATAGGGACAAACGTCCTAGGGTGTGGACAGGCATGCACCTTAGAGTTATGCGGTCAAACCGCCTCAGGACTGGATACCGTGTTAACTTGCATCTGTCAATTTACATCGTAGCTAAGCAGAAGGCGAGGCTCCGTGTTTCCGAGTTATTGAA